GCTTTTAGTGATTGCTAAACAACTGAGGAAAAATATTTGCAGGAGATTTACTGATATTATTAGATATCATGGAATACTAGATATCGTGAGTCCTGTTAAAGTTTACGTTTTTATTGTTTTGAATGCACCAGTTGCAAGCCATGCCACTTATATCGACAACAATACCAGAAAACCACCGAATATCCAGCAATTAGTACTATTGATTCCTGATAAAGTAATACTTTTCCTTCGACTCAACAAGTGAGCTAAGTTTAAATTCTTTAGTCATGCTGTTATATATATTAAAGATAGAATATTTACAAAACTGAACTCACAATGCTTATTGGTTTAGTATTTTTTGTATACGTCTTTGTCTCTTGACAGTTTTGTTTATAAGCGATTGTTATTAATCCATCTCTAAGTTATTGATCAAACCAGCTATGACTATTTCTTAATTATATCTATTTCTTGACTAATCTTTCTGATGTTTATTTTCGTTTCTGTTTAATGGAATACTTACTCGTATTTGGTAAGCGTATCCCCTGGCAACCTGATCAAATCCTTTTCTTAAAAARTCCACAAATTTGCCCATATAYGGATCTATTGTCCAAGAGCCATTGCAGGATAGATAACTTGATTTTTTTCGCTTCACGTTGCATCCTGAAGTAGCTGCATGGAAAGACTGCCATTTCGTGCCACTCAGGATTTTTACAAAAGAGTCTGAAGACTCGTACAACAAATAAATTCCGCAACCTGGAAAAAAAAATCATAAACATATCGAGAAACTGTCTTTTGTTTTTGAATTTCGCACCCTGTACATATTCCCAGTCACTTTTGATTAAATGCCAAGATGGCTGACTTATTAGCACATTTTCATTTGATCCGAACTTGAAGTGAAAATACTATATTATGTACACTTCAGTTTCATGTAAGTATTGAATAGTTTGAAGATACACGTAAGATTCTGCAGATTGCAGAAGAAAAGGTTGATGAGGCTGTGAAAACATTAAATTGCAGCAAATGACGGCAGTAGCAATGGCTATTCCCATCTTATTTGTGGCTTTTTTTACTTGTTCCGAAGTTCGGACGCATACAACGAAATGAAATTTGAATAATATTCAAATTTGCTGAAAATCTTCATTTTTCCAAGGTCTTTTAAAACCCGAATCGCTAAGTTCAAAGTATGCACTTTACCGCGTGCACGGGTTAAAAAAGTCCATTTTATTAGTCAGCGCATCAACGATTTATAGACATTTTCTGAAATACACATGAAAATCATGGTGCATTCTGGTCTTGAGAACAAGTATTAAATCCCATTTAGCTTTTTTCCTTGATGAACAAAGTGTATTTGTACCGAATCTACACCACGTTTCGATTTAGTTATTTTATAAATCCCCTATACTGCCTTAACCTTAACCTTGCCGTATTATCAATGATTTTACAAAGGCAGCCGCAATCATAGGGCTAAACTCATCATTTAAAGTACTAATCCTAGATTATTTCCCTCCGTCAGTGATACTCAACGATTCATGTCACCCTGCAGAATATGATAAGACGATCAAAATACCCACGAGATACCTTGGACCCCCAAAAAAGTGCTTCTTTGTCTTGGATCGTATCCATACTGAAACAGTCCGTTACAGTCGTACACTGTACAATTGTTCACCTATGCTATCCATGCTGTGATTGTACTTGTAAATCAGATTGTTAGAAAAAAATACTGCTATATTGTATATTCCTGTTTTGAGCGACCACCAGAGTTGCTACTCAATTCATTCCATCAGCCTAATCATATCGAGATAAAATTATGAATATATCCTGATTAGGGTATTGCTATTAGGAGTTCATCTTTAAAAGGACTTCATACTCTACATTTCTCGCATACACTTGACCTTTAGGTTAGTTTTTACGTCGAACATGCCGTTATGAAATAAGTATCAATTAAATTCACAAAGTTCAAAATTAGTAACTGACCACCGCGATTACTCCCACGCATTTACTAAGGGGAATCATTCTCCGTTAGCCAGGGCGACTCCACTTACATGTAAATACATCACAAAACGTTTAAATAGGTGACTTCAAGATTTCGTTGGTTGTCATAATTCATCAGATCAAACGCTCAAAATGTTTTCTTTTTGGTTAAAGTACATTATTATTATTATTCGCTAGAAGTCGGTAAGAATGTTATTTGGCCAGGTTACGTTTGTTCATTTCGACCTTCCCAAATTGTTCCCAATCTGAAAGAGCAGTCCTGAAACGTGTGCACTCACTTGAAATGATAATCATATTAAGAACGTAACGATCACATCTTATTGTAAAACCTCTTTATAAAGCCATCTCGTGMAATTATCRTAATAAATTAAYCTTGACATTTGAATTCATTTTTATGAAGTTATMGATTATTTTTTTAAGGCTACGATGTAGCTGCATGCAAACATTGCATTGCATTGCTAACAAAGCCGTCCAGCCGAGACCATTTGAAATGCATAATCATGCAGATAAACRCACTTCTGATCTAATGAGCTTGTAAAAATTAATCTTGTCTGCATCTCACAAACATCTCCTGCAAGAAGAAGAGATGTATTTCTTTCATTGCGAAAAATCAGTGTACCTTCCGCAGGAAATAAAGGACGTTAAAGATGCTTAAATAATGCTATATAAGGCTCCTTCAAAAAGYACTCCCCGAAGAATAAATAGGCAATGTTCAGTCCATTTAGATACTATTTTCAAACTAGTAATTCTGATTTTTTTTTATTATAATTTCTACTTCATTCTTATTTTTCCATCGATGTGGATGCATATATGTTTATGTAGCTATATACTGCCAGTTAAACCAACTCCTCTAAAAAAAGCTGCTACACTAATTCCACTGTATAAATATTGATTCAGAATAAAAAAAATCAATCGCTCTCGTCTGCAAGATTTTATATGTTTATTTTTGAGGCATCCGGTTTGAGTGATAAGTCTTATAAATCATATAATAGAGTATTATATTTGTTTGATATACTATAGCCAGGTCGACGAATTTAAGATATCTAATCTTAGAGAGTAACAGCACCGACTGATATATATTGTCAACACTATCAGTGCATGCCTCATGTTGTGGGGGAAGGAACTGACACGCGGAGTATACTGTACTTTTTATTCATTCTCTTTGTGACAGACAACAGGCGATCACTAGGAGCTCTTGATTAACTATTCAAAACATCTTTAATAATGAAAATAAAAACGCTCGGTCAATTGACTTATAATTTATATCACATATCATCTTATGTTTACAAATTTTAAACACTTATTAATTGCTAAATGATATATACAAAATTAGCCAGTAGCGAGAACTTACCTTCTCGTTGCCTGAAGACTTCATTACTTGTACACCTCCATCGTTTATTTCTCTTAATAATCGTCCCTCTTCTAGGAGGACAGTGACATTTGCAAGGATTATTAGGAGAACGTTCAAATCCTCCGTAAAATCCACACTTATTCCCTTGCCTAATGTCTATGCATTTTGATCGTCGTATGTTGAATCTGTCCTTGTGGTAGTTGTCTTTTTTGTTGACTTTACGTATTATAACTAGGTCACCATTCACAACACGAAAAAGCCATGTCCATCCCAGGATAAACGTCCAAGAAGTAAAAAATCGCAACCACCGCATTGTAGATCTTATCGACAACTGTTTTACACAAATACTTGAGTTCAGGAGCTTAAACGTTGGTCTAATAGGCCAATACAACAGCTTCACGCTTCACATCTTTTCTATTACGTTTTGCTTGCTTTAAGAATGTCATCCATTCCGTTGCTCTGTAGTGTGTCTCCTTAGCAATGTATGCAGCGAGACTCAAGAAGGATTAAGCAGTGCATTCCCAACTCAAGCAGTGACAAATTCTTGACGACCCTTTTGCGCTAATGTGTTTTAAATTGGTTTGATCTCTATCAAGAACTCACGCTGCTGGCATGACATWGCTTTAACAAGCCCTCGATAAACTCCACGTAATGTGCAGACTTGATGCTAGTAGACTTCTTTCGTGTATATGATATATACAATATTGGTGATGTTTTAGGTATAGTTGGTCTTCAACACTTATTTATGGCAAGCTATAAAAAGACAGTAAATCAGTTGAGTTCAAACAAAGAGAAGGCAAATACTTTTGTAGGGCCAATTGTCCTTCTTCGTGTTCACTAATCCTTCAACTTAAAAGATGTTGTTTACTTACCTAAGAATTGGCACAATTTGCATTACAAATTCAGTAGCCTATTTATACACGTGGTTACTGTGGATGACGGACTGGCTCTTAAGACTTTATAAACTTTTTATCGAAACACTGCAGATCTGGCCTTGACATTAGCATTTAACTTCACGCTCTAAAGCGAAAAGCAAATATAATAACGAGGTGTAAATTTGACAAAAGATAAAATCTTCATAAGGTAGTAATAAGTGGATTTGATAGACTGCCCTTATTATTGACCAAAGCCTGCTTTTGTTTACTTTACTATAGCGCTAAGTTGTTATTGTCGTTTCTTATTGGCTCCTGGTTGGCCGTTTACTCTACTACAATTGCCTAATGAAAATAAATTGTTATAATCAATTGTCTTTGTGAATAAAATGCTAAATTGGGCAAAGATGTTTTTCAAATGTTAATCTTTCTTTTATAATTTTGTATTATTCTTCGTGACTGTTTTTGCACTCAGTTGTCACGTTTCTCGCAAAAACTCCAAGCCGCCTCTTGGACAAACTGAACCTGAATTACCAGCATGCAGCTGACAGCTCTAGCAACAGCAAGAGGCAGTCAACAATGTTAATAAACAGTCCTATAGGTGTATAAACCAGTTATTTTCATGTTGACTTTGCAAACAATATTGTTAAGAAGAATAACTATTGACATTGCAAACTACAAAGAATGTACAGTATGTACAATTTTGACACAATGTCCTCCCATCTTTTCGAAAAGACGATCAACACTATTGGACGTGTGCATGCTAATCAATGCCCAAAGACTATTCTTACATCTCCTACTCAAAAATCCATCTCTAAGCCTTTTGCAAAAAAAGTTTGATTGCTTATTTAAGAGAAACCATTCACAAAGTATTGATTCACTTCAGCTTGTAATTATACATTTAGACCATCAAAGATTTGATATAGCAATGAGCGACTGCTGCTGTTACGTTCGTGCTATAATTATTGCGAATGGGGTGGGCGACCGCCAGTTGCTTTACCTAAGAATGGAATAAGGGCTAAAATCTCAGGATATGTATTTCATGTTGATATGATGATTCTTGATGCATATCATTATTATTATTATATCATTAATACAGTTATTTGCAAAAATTCTAACATATATCATTACATCGGTTGCATCATGGGTAATGCTATTTGATTTTTGCTCTTTTTTCGCTAAAACCATGTAAAACAGATAACAAATCATTCGAATACTCTGAAATTATGTTTACCTAATCTGTTGTTTTATTAGAACAAAATTAATCAATTTGAAATATGAACAACTCTATATAATGATATAAAGTTAGCGGCCAGAATTTCTTCAATTGACTGTAAATGCTTCACGCATATAATAATGTAATTTAAGATTTCTTTATCGCGAGACATGTATGGAGGCGATGATTCAGGTCATGGTACGCATTAAGTTTATAATATTTCGTGCTGGCAAAATAGCAAAAAATTGCGTAATTTCACTCGCCAAATTTCGAGAGAAGCGATTTTGCATGTGCATGCATGCACGCTCCCGCTGAGATAGGGCAATGGAGACTCTCAGCCAACAAAGGAATTTCCTCAAGCGAACAGATTCATTACAAACTATCAGTTTGCTTCTATTTTAGTATATTCTGTTTCTCATTCGTCTTTTCTTTATGTTTTTGTGTTATCATGTGCATATATATGATTTCTTCTTGCTACAACAAACATTTGAGATTTACTAATAGCTGAGAGAAGCAAACCTTTCTGGAAATTGAAATGTATGACGTCATAGAATCATGCGTTGTATATCGCGCGTAGACTCTTTCCACAGAAAACGTGAGTCTTACAAACGTTAGATGAGCTATCCGGCCACAGCATAAAAGTATTTTGATATCTAAAAAGATTGTGTAAAGATTTTGTCTCTTTACTACATTCGATCTTCTTTTTTTTTTCTTTTTCCTTTTTTTTTTTCGTTTGTGGTTGAGGCAGGGATGGGAAACGGACTTACTATGAAGAGAAGATCACTGAAACTAATACTGAAACAGAAACACTGAGGAATGCGAGCACTYATTTGCTGGCTTGTTATTTGAGTCTGGTTATTTGAATCGAACTTGACTGTATGATCAGGACGTTCTTTTATTATTATTTTTTGCTGCTTAATTGTATGAGTACCAACAGGGGAAAGAACAGGAATCAGTTGGCAGTCAACACCGGGACATGTTTCCTGTTTCATATAAATAGCCAATGTGCGGATATAACATACGTTTCCCAACAATGCTAAACGGGGAGATCAAAAGAAACAATCCCACTACACTAAACCCATAATATGTAATTTCGATAATGCTCTGAGACTCGCTGCTTCAAAAAACGGTGGATGTCGAATTATCAAGTAAATCATCTTTTTCAAGATTCTCGCAGCCGCACGATCACGCACAAACCCTCCATGCAAATTTCTTACCTTTCAGTCTCCTTTAATTGAGCTGCAAGGGAATCTTGTTGCACAAGTAGAGGTCAATGATAGACGTTTTGGTTGTGTTTGGTTTCCCAAATCTGAACATGCGCTATAATTCAACTATATATAAGCTATATAATTATGTTAAACTCTGAGTGGTTGAACATTGATCAAATAGCTACCCTATCCATGTTATACTCTAGGGAGATGTGTACAAGATGTTCGACCTAAGCATATAGACATGTATCTTCTGAAGTGCGACGTGTTCACTGAAGTGGTTGGTAAGAAGACTAGCTSTCTGACTTAAMACTTATGAAGRCTTTTCACTCCAAAGAACCAAAAAGCGTCTGGGTAATTTGTATGTTAATTGGAGGGAAGGAAACTTGTTGATGGAGAATATGACCCCCAGGACMCCTCTGGAATAACTCAAATTGATGTAGATCGAGAAACACGATCTCTGTTCACATATATCAACGAATAAATGCCAATTTAGGCACGGTACGAGAAACAGACGATGAAAGCAAGGCAAGTGATGTTTTAGAGAAAAGAACAAGAGATGCATGGAGGTGCTATAAAAGATAACAAAAGATATTTAAATTATCTGAAAACAAAGCAGAGTTCATTCACTATGTTTCTAACAGATATTGGAAAGTTTTGATACATATTTCATGTTAAATATATGAGGAATATGCAGCCAAAGCAAGTGTTAGTACAATAGCCTGTTAATGAGCTTTAAATTAAGGTAAACAAATCGTCTTCCATACAGATAACTAGCTCCTGGGTGAACATTTCTTATTTAAAAATAAATGCAGTGCATGTATACGCACGCGTGTTGTAGCTGTATGCTAAATCGCGTTAGGAAGTTTTACCACCCTTAGATAAAATACAAGGGTAATAAAACCGATAATCCTTCTTTTAGCCTAATACGATTATTAGATAGCGCAATTAATATTGCTAATTCGGATCAACTCTTCTTAATTCCTATTTCGGAAACTAACGGAATTTTGAGTCATCCGGTGACCTTGTTATACTGCCAAACAAAGGCATAATGAATATGCATTATTCTATTATTCTATGCATYATTACATTATTCTATTACCGCAACCCAACACCTATTTCACCCCTGCTCCCAGTCTGGMCATCGGTAGTACAAATCCGAAGGTCGTGGGTTCGAATCCCAGCGAGGTCGGAAATTAATTTTTCCGAATTTATTCCTAAGGTCTTTCTCCCGGAATTGCCTCCTTCTAAGCACTCTAACTTTCTTTCATTTCTATATACCCTTTTAATAAGTCCYGAGGTATTACGTTCTCCGCACTTGACGTCAAATTTATTCTTTTGAATTCCTTTTGTATTGTAAAAATTTCAAAAGAATGAATTTGACGTCAAGTGCGGAGAAAACAATACCTTGGGACCTATTAAAAGGGTGTATAAAGCCATAATGATCCTTGCTTGAAAGAGGATCTGTATTTGAGCTTTTGCAATGCTGTAACGACCTACTCGTCGCATTGAATATCCAGACAAGTTCAAGCAATTGTTGTAATGCGACCCCCATTCCCTCATGGAGTATAAAAAAAAAGAAAGAAAGAGGATCTCTATTTGAACCCTTGCAATGCTGTAATGACCTACTCGTCGCATTTAATATCCAGACCAAGTTCAAGCAATTGTTGTAATGCCACCCAAATTTCATTATCGAATATAAAAAAAAGGAAGAGGATCTCTATTTGAACTTTTTGCAATCCTGTAACGACCTGTACTCGTCTCATTGAATATCCAGACTAAGTTCAAACAATTGTTGTAATGCGATCCCCATTTCATAATAAATTAAAGTGAGAAAGAAAGAAAGGAAGATGATCTCTATTTAAACCCTTRAAATGTTGCAGCGACGTACTCACCRCATTGAATATCCAGACTAAGTKCATGCAATTGTTGTAAAGCGACCCCAATTTAATTTTCGAGTATTAAAAAAAGAACCTRGTCTAAACGAAAAAAAAAGGACTGGGAATGAGCATAATGAAAGGACTGGGAATGAGCATAATGATTTAATCATCGAAACAACTTAGTCTCGCCATATTCGTGTTCAWCTTTGAACATGCATGGTTGAATACTTAAAGAGGCTAATTTTACTTTTGTGGGATTCTCAAGAATAGGGAGTATTTTTTTCGAGTTTTGAAAGCTTGTCACTGGTAATTGTATATCCAAATTATACGCTCAAAGTTTGAATTTTGGATAGTCAAATTCCACTGCTGGAGGATACGACGATAGTTATCTAATTAAATCCATATGATCTTTCGTTTCATATCATCATTATATCGCCTTTGTTATATACAATTTGGAATACAGTGAATGTATATCCCAGATTATATAGGCTTTAAGCAACCATTTTAAAACAATGCCTTTGTCATCGGCAAGAGCTCCAAATGTATTTGATGACATTGACATCAATACTATGGAGAACGAGTATTCGTTTACCGGATGCTTAGTCTGATTTTACTTACACAGTGTATGTAATGTGATGTGATCTCAGACGGTTGCAAGCTTAGAGTACACACCCCGGACATACCCGGAAGGTCTGCCTCGGGCTATTGGGGTATTCAAGTTAAAGATGACTTTGAGCGCACGACACGTTCGATAGAAACAACGGTAGAGAAAAAGAACTTCCCTTCACAAAATTCATAATYAATGCCCGCGACAAATGACTTTTCCGATTTCTAGAAATCATGTACACGCGAAAATTAGTACGAATAAGGTAACAAATAGGTTTAAATTTTGTTGTTGTTTAGGGATGTCAGATTTATCGCGAGCTRCGTAATCACATTCATATGGTAAAGATAAGAGAACACACAAATTGTATGTATCGATCAAATTAGTATATAGCTCAACAACAATAGAAGGTAACAATATTGACCTTGTCGGGTCGAGTACTTAAACAAATATAACATAAACAGATCGAATAGTATTGTAGTTCTAAAAATACATGTAATTAAATTCGATATGAGATACAGTTTCTCATAATTAGACATTCACGTAAACAGTCACTAAGAGTAACATGAAGAGTAATGCTCAAAGTTATCAGTAATTACCAAAAGCATGGCTTCATTCTCACTTTTAAATACATATAGTATATTTAAGAAATATAAAACGCCGCGCGTGTCTCTGTCCTCTGATCATGATATAAACACGGTGGGAGTTGAAAAACACGAGAGAAGCAAGCTTAGAAACACGAGCGTAGCGAGAGTTKCTCTTGCTTCTCGAGTGCTTTTCAACTCCCACCGTGTTTATATCAGGAGACAGAGACACATTTATCAAAAATTTTATGATTTAACATATRAACTGGACCTTGCTCACAGTTGTGGTTTAGAACCCATTGCCATTATGTTTCGTTCGYATTATTTTGTTTATTGTTTTAAAAATGTTATTTACCACGGTCACTAGTAAACCTTTTGAGCAAAGATTCACACCATTATATACATATCACGAATCAAATCATTGACACATATCACTATCTTACAATGTATTATACAT